GTCAAATCTTTTTGCGGATAAACAAAGAGCAACAGGAGTAGATACATGCATGTAAGCAGCGCGCTCCAAATGTAATAGATTGAGAGTCAGGCTCAGATTAAGATAGACTAAGACACACCACTGTAGTACCATGTCACAGCTCAGCAGTCTAACAAACAGCACCTGATTTCTGTCTTGGGTGGTCAAGAGATGAATCCTTGCATTGAGTGCACTCTTGTATAATGGATATTGTCAGTCCTCAAGTGTTTCTGAGCAAAAAGAAAACACCAAAAGAACTTCACGGATATTCTGTTTTTTCTAACATGTAGATATATAATAATTACAAGAGAGAATTTCTCTACAAATACACCTTAAAGATCTATTTTCAAAGATCCAATAATAATAAATTACAAAATAAAAAAAGAAGAATGAAACAAATTACAACTTGAATGACCTATTTCAAAGGCCTATTACAAACTAATAAACACAAACAAGAACAAGAATTTATATGTAGTAAGAATATATGTTCACAAGACTCTACACCTTCACAGAGCTAGTTAGACTCATGAACTAAATCACATATTGAACTAACAGAAGATTTCAGATACATAGGAGCCATGAGATCAAGATAAGCTAAGACAAGAGAATCAGACAGAGAATCAAAAGAATGTTCAACCAGATTGATCATATTAAATGATAACTCAGGTACGTAAGAACATCAATGGTGAGAAGATATGTCTATAGTAATAAAAACTTACATAATGATTACAAAGTAATTACTCCAAGAACTACTCCTTGATATAAACTAAAATGTGTAACATCAATAATCACATCTGGAGGTAAGAAATCTGCAATCAGAACCACAGGTTGAACAAACCTCACAAAAACCTATAAGAAGCCTCCTTCTCAACAAGCCAGAAGAGGAGGCATGGAATTTTACCCCTCCAACTTTTTAGAAACAGTTAGGGCACGTTCATTTAAGGAAATTCTGACCAGAAATCACATTCTGTGAATTTTCTAATACAAAAATGAAACATGCTCCACCAAATAGACACTTAAAATCTTGCAGAATGTGATTTCTCCCCAGAAATTGCTAGCAAATGCGCCCTTAGGGCGCGTTCACTTAGCCTGGATTTCCAGAAAGCACATTCTAGATGACCGCTTTTCTACATGTAGAAAAGCAATTTTTGTAAAAAAAAACAAAATTTCATGTTTCATGACAAAAGAGGTCATGAAGTGTTTGATTAAAGGTGAAGTTAAGGACGGTTTTCATTCGTTGATCCCCAGACAAACCCTTGGATCTGAAGAATCCCACTACATAAACCAATCATACATCCTCACTTTTTCAAATTGTTCATGCCCAACCCTTTCTTGGATTGAACTCAATTGGGTTTTGGTACCAGCATCATCTTTGACTACCCGTTCATCAAATTGTCTTTTTGGTAACTCGTTCAATCAACTGGCTTCTCAAAAATACATCATCAATTGATTCCTTGCTTTTTTTTGTTCAAGGCCTGTTGTAATTAGATCCATTTCATCATTCAAGTCAAACTCTCGAACATCCTGATGTCATTCATATTACAACAAGCCACCTTACGCTTTGGAGGACTTTATCATGATAGTGACTAAAGAATGAAATCTATCAAGGAGCTTAGAGCTCGTCAACCAATCTCCAAAAATGATAAAGTATTTTTCAATCGTTGTGCAACTAACCTTATAGCTGAAATTTGATTGATCGAGAAACTTGAAGCTTTGTCCATTGAAAAGACTGAACTGGAACTCAGTTTGACTGAGCAACAGTTTTAGAAATCATTTCATAACAGTAAAGCTTTCTCGAATGGCTATTTGCCTCACGTCAAAGATGAAAACTAGAGTGGTTCCCGTGCTTGTTGACTTGGGCTGAGAATGAGATCAATCAAGGATGGTGATTGAAGACAATTTTTGAGTGGTGGATGATTGAGTTTGAGAGCTCTGTACAATGAATGAGGACTTGAGAAATGGTCATGTATGGTGAAAGGTACGTTGTGAGATTTCAGGATAAGTTCACAAATGAAATGATAGACCACAAAAGTTGAGACGGAATGTGATTTCTAGAGCAAAAAATGTGATATTATCGAATTATTGAAAAGTGCCAAAAAAAGACTTTTTTCAAGCATTTTGTGATTTCTAGAATGCTTGTAAATAAGAAATCAAACACATTTCACAGAATGTGATTTATCAACATTCAAAAAAGTGCTTTTTCACGAAAAAGCGCTTAAGTGAACGCGGCCTTAGTGTTCTCTTCTGAAGTCCAGTGTTATAAACCATTAGATTATCTTGTCATCCAAAAAACCAGTAATCTAACCCTTTATTTGTTCCACTTCCCAGATTAGTCTTCACTATCATTTTCTTTAAAATTTGGAACCATAAGATAAATGTATTCATAATTTTTCTGTTCTTCAAAAATCTTGGTATCCTGATTCTGATCATTATACAATCTTTATTTTAATGGTTCTTAGTTATTTAGTTAACCATCCAGTTCCTATATCAACCAACTATCATTCAACAAGCAGCAAACATCCTTTTATTCAAAAGAAACCTATTCT